AGTTAAAAAGAAAGATATTTTAGCCCTCAGCAAAATTTATCTACCGATATAAAACTACCCACAAAATTTTTCAAAATGAGAGGCCTGATTTGCCTATAAAGTCAAGCCTGTCGCGTGACACAATGCGACTAGGGCAATGTTGCTTAGGCTAATAGCATTTGTCTTTTAACCCTCAAGTTCGCGATTATATTCCAGATGGGGATGCTGGTGAGAAGAATAGGTTGAGGTCCAAACGTTGGCTCAGCCAGAGAGCAAAACAATTTTGTGGGATGCATGCAAAGAGCAAGCCTGCTCTTTAATTGTGTGCAGGGTCTCTATCAATCCATTAAGAAGCCAATCAAAAATTGGTTAAAGGATTTCCGCCAAATCCTAGATGGGACACCAATGAGGTAGACGAAAGGTTGAGCCCACTTACATTTCTAGTAAAAGTGTGCGACGAATAGACTAGACGGTTTTTCCCCCCAGAAAACCACGGCGGATTCCTCGTGACCAGCTGCCAGTTGGCTTTGCTGGAAAATTCTTGTTGACGCTGTCCTGAAGTAATGCTCTTCGTTTCTAGTGCAAACAAGCTAAGCTTTCGTAGGTATTTAGAAAAACTGGATTTCGAAGAATCTCTTAATAGATTCATGTTGGAGTGCCTTTCATTTCGTTTGAAGAGGCGAGTGGAAGGGATTCGTAAGTTGGTTCCACCGGAGGCTGTGGGGGGGTTACCTTGGAGCTGTGGTTGTAGATTTGTGCGAATAGGTCTTCGGCGCACCGCCATGCGACCCCAATGAATCCTTGCCGAGCTTACGTCCGTGACGTGACGGACACCTTCAGAGCCGGACACCATGTTGTCTTCGTGTCTTTGGTGAATTATCGTTAAGCATGGTCTGCTGCTCTGAAGATGTTCGCCACATGAGGGACAAATACTCAGCAAGGATTCATCGGGGTCGCAGGGCGGTGCGCCGATGATCTGTTCGCACAAATCTACAACCATAGCTCCAAGGTAACCCCCCTCCCACAGCCCCCGGAGGAACCAACTAACGAATCTCTTTCACTTGCCTCTTTAAACGAAATGAAAGGTGCTCGAACGTTAAGCTAAGCTTTGGTTCGTCATATGATGGAGATCATCAGGGCAGGGTGGCATTCTCACAATCATATTCAAGCTAATGGGTCAATAAAGCGCACCGATTTCTCCCAAAATCTTGCATATATATCCTAAATCTAAGCATTTTGGTAAAGTATAAAGTGATTTGGTTAGTTCAACTCATGCCAATCTAGAAGCACGTGCATGTGTCTTATGAGCATTTGTGTGTATGTATACGAGATAACAGCAATAGCTTAGTGATTAGAACAGAACCGAACATCTGGCCTCCGTAATAAAAGTTTAATAAGCAACACCTCCGTGTATTTATATTTTAACCAGTAATCTGATTGTATAGTGCTGGGCACATGCCTGGTTAGGTTGATCAGATTTTGGCAAGGTGAGAGAAAGAATATAGAATGTGTGATCGTGCTTACTACCATTACCAATGAAAGACTAATTGAATCTCCTCTCTTCAGAAGGCTCAACAATCAAGTAAGCATATATAGTTCTTATTAAATTTTTTACCGGTGTTGTTGACATTCATAGTATTGTCCAATCTTTTGACTTCGACAGCTGGGCTTAGCTGCAGACAAAACGAGAAACTGGATACATGAAAACTTGTGTTCAACCACCTCTTGTCGAATTGGACGACAGGTCTCTTCAAATTAAAAGCTATCTACTGGACACATTATGTTATGCCAACCTGTTCATGAGAATGGGTCAGCTTTCTCTCTAAAAATTGGCATATTTAAAGGAAGTGTCCAAGTTTCCTCTAAAACCCTTTTTGTTCCCAATTCCTTAGTAGTTCACCTATCATTAAAGAGAAAGCAAAACAGCAAAATCAGGACATAAGAAAAGGTCTCAGTACTTCATCTCTTCTCGCATTCTTAGTTGAAAAAGCATTTTCATACATCTTATTTCATTTTTAATTAAGCCTAGAGGATAATTATTCGGGGCGAAACCTTATGAATACGAATCTACATTTTTCTAAAGAAAAAAATGAACTCCATTAATATTGTGGTAAGGAATTCTTCGAAACCTAATTTTTCTTCATATCTATGAACTTCATTAAGCTGGTCAAGCCAAATAGTAACTAGGTTAGCTTATGGTAAACAAATGAGCGCAAAAGGTGCAGAAAGTCTATTACAATCCACATATCATTATTAAACTAATATTACGATTGCGTTTAACTTACG